ACTTCATAGATGAGGCCTCTGAGATAGAAATTTCTTGAACTCATAGAATATCTGTAACCGGCTTAGTGCTATGGAATAACCACCAAAGGAGTGGAGCAGCAAAAAGTGTGAGCTCGGTCCTCACCTGCTTCCCGGGGACCCCGCTCTGCGCAGACAAATGGAAGTTCTCTTGCTGCAAGCAGGGAGCACATCTGGGAGAACTGAACACAAGCTCAACAACAACAAGAGCTGGTGGAGTGAAGGCACCAGACAGAGAGGAAGAACAGCAACCCTGTAAACATACCACAGTGTATTCCATAACTTTTTATCCAATATTCTTATTGCAAGAGGAAATCTGTTTGTATCCTGTTTGTAAAGTTCGGCTGGGTTGTTTTGTTGGGGGGGTGGTGTTTGTTTTTATTAGCTGGATAGTAATGTGGTGTGTAATATTTTAAACCTGGGTTTTACTCTTTGGAGAGCCTGCTTCAATAGGTGGCTTGCCTACTGTTTGGAATTAAGTTGTTTTTTAAATTTTGTTTTTAATTTGAGATTTCTTTTTTGATAGTTACTGGCTACAATTGTTTGCATCTGCTTAAATTACTTTCATACTCCTAGATTTGCTCCTAGGTATAGGGAACATTTTTCCTATGGAAAATGACATTTAACTGTGGAGTATTATTTTTTAACATGCTAGCACACATCCATTGCCCTGGATTGTAGGAGTTGTGGTAGGAAGTGCTTGCCCCCCTGTGTAGCGCTGATTTCTCATGCACATTGCATGGCAGTTCCGGGCTAACCTGCCCCCAGTTCACAGGTCGTGTGTGCTTGGAGATGGTCAGTAGGACTGATTCATGTTTAGCAAAGGCCAGCAACTGTCCCTAAAATGACAGGGGGAGCCCTGGGGTGCCTTGCACTGACACAGGATGTCACATTAGGGTATCTCCGTGCTGGTAGCAGCTATTGCTCCCTGCCCCTGTGTGGACACCAGGTTTCACACTGCAGTTTCCACTGCCTGTGGAATCTTAAAGCCAAATTAGCCTGATATATCTGAATCTTTTGACAATGAATTATATAAACTTGGTGTCTACATCACCAAAAAGTCTTTCCCCAGAGTTTCTTTTGGCACTGTTTCCCAAGTTCTCTGAGCAGCTGCACTGTGGAACCCAGCCCCGGTGTCAGTAGAGCAGCAAGTTGTGTGCTGGTACCAAGCATGTCACAGCTTCAGCAGCCCACACAAACCTGCTGTGTGCTGAAGTGACAGCAAACTGCTGGGGCTGCAAGAGGCCTGGATGCAGGTAGAAACCCCCTTGGATAATATAACCTGATATTTCCTACCAGCACAGTTACTTTCCTTTTTTTCCAGTTTTAGGAAACTGCAGGCTTTGTTCTTTCTAAACTTCCTGAATTAGTAAGTGCTGAGCTCTTTTACATTCAAGAATCCAAGGTAGATATTCTGAAGCCTGCTAGATAATGCATGTTACCTGTGCTGGCCCAACTTTATTGGATTTGTGCTTCACTGTCAAATCTCTGAGTTACAGAGGAAGGTCCTGCTCCTGAGTGTGTAACACCTTCAGTGTCATTTTATTTCTGTGCTTCTGTACCTGTTCTTACCTCATGACTCTTCTTGTTTCCATCTTTTGAATTGCCTTTTGTCAAGTTTGTCTTATTGAAGCCTTCACAGTCTTTCTTTTGCTGACTTGTTGAGGCCAAGGGCTGAATAGTCTCAAGTTTTCATGAGCTGAAGGGAGTGGGGGAAGTGAGAATGTTGCATCTGTCCCAGGTCAGGTTTGGTTTGTTAATTTCTTCCCAAAGGCCACAGTTTTGCCAAGAGTGAATCAGTGAAAACCAGGGTTTTCTGATGTGCTGTCTGACAGTACCATGCAGACAACAGAGTTCTTTGGGAGGTTGATCTGCACCTCTGACCTCCCTGCACTGGTTGGATTGTAATTTCTGTCATGGATTAGTGTCATGTTCATCTGTCTCAGAGTCCTCTCCTCTCAGCGCAGCCCACTGTCAGATATTGGGTCTGAGTGCATCATGGGTTTTTAGTACACTTTCTCTCTTAAGAAGTTAAGAAACCAAGGCTTAAGAAAATTGAAAAAAAAAAAAAAAAAAAGAGTTTGTGCATCTGTGTGTCTGGTTTATGTACAGGTCCGGGAAAAGTATTTGTGCAACTTTCCTAAGAAAGATTGCAATGGAAAGGGGAAGACTGAGAACAAGAACCCACATGCTGAAGTAATTAAACTCAAGAATTGCAAAAAGATTACTGTGTTTCTTGTACATTCTTTGTGTGTGTTCCTGTCTGTGCCAGTATTTCTCAAACCTGTTTACTGATTTTTCCAGAATTGAGAGCGTTCATGCTCCTGGGGTGTGGTCTCATGATGCAGCTGCTGCTGGTTCAGGAATAACTAGGGTGATGAGTAGAGCCTAGTGTCTGGGAGAACAGCACCTGGGACTGCTTTTTCAAAAGGGTTCATGTGAAAGCTCAAAATACCTTGTGTGGTGAAAAACACACAGATGTAGTGCACATGTAGTTCTCTATGGACTCAGTAGGAAAGGCCCTCAGTTCCATCAGGTATGGATTAAAATATCAAGATAACAGAAGGAAATGGAACAGCCCACATCATCAGACAGACCCCAGATCTGGCACCCCTGTGCAGACTGCCCAGGGTGACTGGCACCACGGGCATTACAGTTTTTGTGGGATTTTCCTAGAAGTAAGGTTTGTTCATCATTTCCACTGCCAAGAAAAAGGATCTTAATACAGAACTTGCTGCTCTTCAGAATCAGGGCAAGGACACAGCAGTGGAGTTGGCACATGGAGCTATGGACAGACTCCTCTGCTATGACAAGCTGGCTGGATCTGCAGCCCAGTGCACCTCCAGCACAGTGCCCAGCCTGTGCCCGAGGGCCAGTGGCCAGGCACTGGGTCACCAGCCCTATGTGCCAGCCTGGGTGGGGGCACTGCCCCACTGCAGCCTGGGGCAGCACCAGTTTGTTACAGACAACCACAGGGGCCTCACTGCAGCAGCAGCTTCCTTCCTTCCTTCCTTCCCCACATCAGTGCACGTGGCTGCTGCCTGGCTCCTCAGCTTTACCACTCTGTCTAGTGAGGAAAGATTGCTCTCACGTGCTGGGAACCCACTGAACACTCCCAGGCATGGCGAGTGCAGACTGAGAAAGTGCCAAGTGCCCCTGGCATGCTCCTTTCAGATCTCCTTTTGCCCTGTTCCAACCCTGCCCTCCCCACACCGACCATGGGAGCCTTGCCATCAGTTCCTATCTCCTGTGTGCTTGCTAGCAGAGCTTTCCAGAATACAAGAAAAACTGATTTTGCTCTGTCTTTCCTGGGATGTGTGATACCACCTCATCCAACCATGCTCAGGATGTTCTGCTGTCTCCTAAAACAAGATTCTTGTTTTGGAAAGCAGCATCATGGTATCACAGATGCCCAAAGCAGGAGCAAGGGCTTGCTACCACAGTCACCTTAGGTCCAGGTGCTGCACTGTATAAAGGACAAGACTTCTCCTGCCACTATTCCCCCAACCACCAGGGTAAATGTAAATATGTGAATAAATACCTACACATCTTTTTCAGTCACAGAGTTTCAGCTTCCTAGTTGGTCCAGATCCCACTAGTGATACATTCCTGTTGTGTTTTCACAGCAATCAAGCCCCACGCAGCCACTCACCCACTCTCCTACCAGTGGGATTGTGGAGAAAATTGGAAAGGTAAAAGCTGGAAAACTCTTGGGTTGAGATAAAGACAGATTAATAGTGAAAAGAAAAGCTGGCACATAAGCAAAGAAAAAGAAAGGATTCATTCACTGCTTCCCAGGGGCAGACAGGTCTTCAGCCACCTCCAGGAGAGCAGAGTCACATGTAATGGTGATTTGGGAAGACAAACACCATCACCTCATATGTCCCCCCTCTTTCTTCCCCCCAGCTTTGTGTGCTGAGCATGACGCCATGCAGTGTGGTCAGTTGGGGTCACCTGTCCTGTGTCCCCTCCCCATCTCCCATGTGCCTGCAGCCCCCTCACCAGCATGTGACAGCAAAAGGCAGAAAAGGCCTTGGCTCTACGTTAACACTGATCAGCAATAACAAAAACATCTCTATATTATCAGCCTTGTGTTCAGCACAAATGCAAAACATAACCCCATATTAGCCATTGTGGAGACAATTAATTCTACCCCAGCCAAACCATTGTCTTTGACTTGGTTCAAGACACCATAGGCTTCTACCCTCCTCCAGCAAGCTCTGTTCCCTGAAAAGGAGTTCCAATGATTTGAGCTTAATGTTGTTTTTTTCCTTCCTTGAGCCAAAAAGTACATGAACCTGCAGCCCACAGCAGCTTTTCCAGCTTCTCCCTATCCCAGTGGCTGCAGGCTGGAGTGGCATCTCAGGGGAAATTTCTGATGAAGGAAGACAGAGCCACAAAGGTGGATCCCAATGTACCACTGCAGGCCCAAACCATGTCTCACTACCACTACAGGAGGGCTTTTTCCAGACCAGGGACTGGGATTTGGTTGGCTGCATTGAATTAGTCTGATTACTTGTATTTGAGGATGGGATGTTGAATTTGGGTGTAACAACAGCAAAGGCTCACTTCAGTTGAATGCAATGAAGCAGAAGAGATTATTTTACTGAAGCAGAAGAAAAATTGAGAGCTGTAGAAATCAGCAAAAGCAGTAAAATCCCTTGAGAGGGTTATTTCAGTAGAAAACAGGCACTTCTCTTAGACAGTGCTAGTGCTCAATTACTGAATTACAGAGATCAGCTATAACATGTAATGAATAGTAATATATCATTACAGTTAAGAAACCGTGATTTCACTGTCTCAAAGATTTTCTACTTTGACAAGTTCCTCTTTTTCTCTCTGGGCATCTTTATGTTCACCTGTTTCACAAGTAGTCTGCAGGCATTGGAGGGAAGTATGGCCCCAGTCACAGCTTGTAACTGAAAACAATTAAACAATTAAACCAAGCAGCTAAATTGCTCTGTGAGAAGGAAGCATCCATCTGTGAGGTGCAGTGGGATTGGTGGCCCAGATGTCTGCAGCTCTTAGGGAAATTTTTTGCTTTAGATTTGTATACCTGAATTCTTCCTCTCTTAAATGTGGTGGAGTGATATAGAATATTTCAGTTGGAAGAGGCTACAACAATTATCTGTCTTGCATTGGTAATGTAAAGATTTAAGGGGTTTCATGAACCTTAACTTAAAGCATAGTGGTGATTGTCACAGAAGCTGGTGAGAAAGTGAATTGTGAGGACCTAGATGATTCAGCTCCTCATGACCTCTCTCTCAGACCTGTGCGTGTGTAATTGTGTGTTAAAGCTTATTTGTCAGCAAGCAACACAAGGAAAAGAGGAAGAAATGGTTGCCTAGGAATCAGAAAAAATAAAGGAAAAAAATTTAAAAACAGAAGGGGAGAAAAACATACTCGGCAGAAAATATGAAATAGTGTGGAAGTAATTTTTAAGCTTTCCTCTCTGCACCCTTTCCTTAGGGTTTCCGCTGTGCCCACGCCTCTGACAGTGGTCACTGAGACACTTGTTTTCTGATAAAGAGGAAGGAAAAACCACCAGCGGTTGTCCTGGATGCTCAGTGACAGGGTGAGCCCAGGCAGGGAGGTGTTCCTGATTTGCAGCAGCTTGGGGAACACGGGTCAGTGTGGCTGGAGAGGGAGCAGCCGTGCCCCGGGAAGGATGGGAATGGTGCTGCGAGTGGCCGTGCTCCTGAGCTCCCTTCTCCGCTGCAGCGGTGAGTCTGGGCTGGCCACGGGCCCCTGCCCTGCGGTGTCTGCGTGCTTGGCAGGGGAGGCTCTGCTTTGGGAAGAGCTTAGATTCAGTACTCAGAGCGAGAGAAATATACTGGGACAAAGGCAGTGGTCGTAATGTTTACAGGAAAAAGAGTTTTAGGTTTCTTCACCCAGCGGTTTCTCATGTTTGGCTTAGGCTGCGAGAGTGGTGTGTTTCAGCAAAACAAATAGGCAGTGGAGAAGGGAAGTCTTTGCTGTTCGTCAAAAGCCCCCAGGGTGATGTCTGGAACAGACACTGGCTGAGACCAGGCAACCTTCAACTTGGACTTTAGACCAACTCCTTCCCTCAGGCCTAAGTTATTGGATAACTCTGCTCCTGTGCTCTGCTCAGTGCTGGTGGTGGCAGGAAAGCACCAGGCAGAGCAGGAGAGGCAGGCTGCATGCTTGGCAGGAGTTGGTGGCCCTGGTGCCCCTGGCCATCAGCCACCTCCCACCTGTCTGCCTTATGCCACACTGATTTTTGGTTAACCCACCCCTGAGCAGCCCAACCCTCACGGTCCCCACTGACTGCTTGTGTTTCTCATCTGGTGGGTTCTCTTTGCCAACACCCCTGCCATGGCTTCACCACCTGGGGGCTGCCTTCACCCTGGCTGCTTTGTGGCTTAGTTGCCATCCTTCTTCCTTCCTGCAGCTTTTCTAGACCTGAGTGGCCCCAGTGAGATCAAAGGTGTCTGGAAGGACTCTACCACTCTGCCTTGTACCTATGTGCCTCTGGAGGACCTTGTGCAGCAAACCCTCACCTGGACTGTGGTACATGAAAAAGGTTCAGGCACCATCTTTCGGAGGGATGTCTCTGGTGACCACGTGTTCCTGTCTGAGTACAGGAACAGAGTCAGCATCCCAAAGGATGCCCCAGGAAATGTGTCTCTCCTCATCCTGAACCTGGAGATCTCTGACAGAGGAACCTACACTTGCCAGGTCACCTGGAGAGACAGCAACAACAGCCTGATAGCAAAGGAGATCACCACCAAATTGGAGGTTGTTAAAGGTAAATCCGGGAAGGAGGCTGTTCAGGAGGAAAAGGCTGGGCTCAGGAAGGCTTTTGGAAATTAGAGCAGGTATGCAGTGACTGCGTGTTTCAATGCAGAAGCATTTTGCTGATCACTGTCAGCCTCAAGCAAGAAGCAGCAAATAGATCAGAGCGAAATTCTGCCCAGGACCCAGCAGCCTGCAGCTGGGGGCGGCCCTGCGGCTCCTCAAGCACCGGCTCATCGCTGGCTCCATTGCAGCCAATGGCTCAAGGTTTCCCAGGGGCGTGTGGCAGTGGGGAAGCCCCAGGCACAGCGTATGGCTGTTCTTCGACTGAAATTCAGCAGCCTGTGCTTGCCCTCCCTCTGCCCAGCGTGGGGGGTTTGCAGAGGCACAGAGAGCAGGGCAGCTTGTGCGGCACAGCTGAGCTCATCCCGCACAGGGAGGAGATGTGAGAGCCGAGCTGTTTCCTCCTGGGAAGGCAGCGACAGCGAGCACTGCTGTGCCAGGGGCAGCGTCCCCACCACAGCCAGGGCTCCGTGACCCGGGCCCCTCTGCTTTGTCTTCCAGTGGCAGCCACCAAGCCCATCATCAGGGCTGGACAGCTGGGGCTGACGCTCCCGGCCGGAGGCAGCACCAGCCTCACCTGCGAGGCCAGCGGCTCCCCTCCCATCAGCTACCGCTGGTTCCGGGCCACCCCGGCGGGCAAAGNTGAGGAACCCATCTGTTTCACTGAAAACAACTACGTGATGGAGTTCAGGGAAAACAAAATCTCTGAAGAAGTAAATAAGAACGAGTCTGACTGTGTTGCAAACGCCCAGGAATCCGAGTATGAAGTAGGGGAAACTTCCTGAGAACCAACAATGTTCTGCAGATACCAGTCCTGAGGAGCACCTTCACCCAGACAAAATACACATTTCTTTTCACTTTGCTCCTGACAAATAAGTTGGACAAGCAGTGGCTGCTCTCTCTTCAGAGAGAGTGCAAATGCATACCTCCTCAGGAACCTGAGTTACAGACTGCTGTATAGAACTCCTGGTTCTGTTCTCCTTGACTCCCTCTCACCACCTCTATCCAAGAAAGCACTTTGAATGCTGCAGCATGCAGGTCCCAGGTTAGGAGCACTGTACTGAACTTAATGCTTTCTATGGCCAAAAGGACCGGTGTTTCCAGCCTTTGTGTGGTAGGGGGAGAGCCAACACTCAGGGCTGCTCAGCATCCCCACCTGTGTGGGTGAGCAGGGCAGGATGCAGCTGGCTTGAGAATCAATGCTCCTTCTCCTGCCCACCTGAAGCTGGACAGATTTAATAGAAGAGAGATCTTGAAGGAACAAGAAACTCAGGACCCTGGCACTAGGAGAAGCAGTGCAGGAAGCAGGAATGGCCTGTGCAGTCCTTGTGCTGCCCCTGATCCCTCTCCACAGCACTGCAGCGAGGTCACTGGCCACAGCTCTGGGTGCTTCTGATGCTGCAACCAGGCACATTCTTTCTGAGCTCACCTTCTCTGTTCTCTCTCTAAAGTGCACGATGGATGGCATGAATAGAATCTCTCAAGAAATCCACCCCAGTTAAAATACTGTGTTTGGTTGTGTACAGTTAATGTTCTGGTCCCATTTGTAAACCTTGTTTGTTGTACCCCTTGTTTACCCCCATAGTTGTTAGTAATGTTAATTACTTACTGGTTGTTTTAAGAGTTCTCTTATGAGATGTACCTCTACCCCCTTTCCCTCGCTTCCCTGTTCCTGTGTAACAGTGCTGCTCCCAGGGGGCTGTGCACCCCGAGTCATACACAAACTAAGGTACACCAGACATAAAAACGACAAGCCAGCAAGAAAATAAAAGGTCAAAGAGACATATCCCAGCAAGCTATGATGGAAAACCATCTGCTTGCATCACCTGAGCCTGCTTAAGAGTGGTCTCCATGGCCTAAAGAGGACTGGAAAGGAGTGACCCCCTGGACAATGAGGCTGGCTGCTCCTGTGAGGATGGAAGCCCCAGCTCTGCAGGGTGTGCTGCAAGCTGAATTGTGCCTCCTCCTCCTCCTTGGAGCTGCTGGTGTGGGAGCAGTGGTGTTGTGAGTGACCCCTCGGGCCCCCACCCCAAGGCTGAGTCCTAATAAAGGCATAAAACAGGAGTCTGTCTCCTGACCAATTTATTTCAATGGACATTTGAAAGAAGTTAGATAATTTTCCTTAAGTTTGGAGTAGGATTGCTTACACATGCCTCACATTGCTGTGTGCATTTCTGAACAACTGGCTCATTTTGGAATGCCAGCAAGCCACTCACAGCCCCTCACTAGATACTCAAGAAGTACTTTCCTCCCAGCTTAAAAGGTCTGAAGGGTAAATCATGAATAATTTCTACTGCCCTGGGTAAACCTATCCTGCAGTGTTATGGAAGAAAGAACCTTTTTATAACAAACAGAGCAACCCTGTGTCCCATTATAAGAGCAACACAGACATGTAAAAGAGGGAGAGGGACCCAAGCAACGAATTGGTAACACCAACACAGGATTGATAGGCCCCCAGCTGTGCTGCTCACACTCAGGACAGCTCTGCATCTGCAGCTCTCTGAGCATCACTTCAAAACTCACCAGGATGCAAAGGGAGTGTGAGGTGCTAATGGAAGGGTATTCCAGTCAAAGAACAGGATTGTGGCACCGTAAAGCCCATGGAATATTGCTACCTTATGTATTCATGTTGGCCTCATCTTGGGTTTAGAAGAGCAAGAAAAGTTACTAAGAAAGATTGTAAAGGATAATTATTGGAACAAAACCACATCTGTGCAAACAGTCTCTTAGAAAAAAAGAGAAGAAAAAACAAATGAGCAACATGTGCCCATGGGTGTCAGGGCTGAGAAGATGAAGGGGCTATTTTCTTACAGCTCCTCTGAAATGGATGCAGAAATTAGTGATAATTGTCTGGTAGCACTTTCAAAGGGCAAAGAAAAGTACTTTTTTGTATGCAACACAGAAATAAATGTGGAACACAGTGCTGCTCACTGGGGGCTGAGAGCCAGAGGTCTAGTGGGAAATTAGAGGAATTAATGATGAAAAGATTCATCAGAAAGCACAAACTACCAGGCACTCTTTCCAGGCACTTATCAGTGACCTTACACTTTCTCCTGTGCTGTAGGTTTTATTTTGCTTTGTTAAGAATGTACTTAAAATCAAGGGCTGGCACATCTTGATTTCTGAATGAAAAGGGAATACATGGCACTGCTGGTGCTGTCATGGAGAAAACTGCCAACATGTACATGCAGCTTCTTGCAGACGTGGAGAAAATTGGTGTGTATGTGTTTCTGCATGTGTGAAGTCAGAGGAGGTGGGAAGGAAATGTGGCAGGTTCTGGAGCACAGCACATCCATCTGAACTCAGCCTGACTGCTGTGGCCACTGAAGGGGGAATATGGCTCTGGCCACCTGAAATTCCCTGCTGTTCTCTTCATCTGAGGGGTCATGAGCTCCAGCTGGAGGAGAAGGGAGCACTGAGGGAAGGCAGAGGTGCAGAGATGAAGGGCATCCCACTGAGGGACAGGGTGATCAGTCACACTGTGGTCTGAGCTCTCCTTGCTGAAATCCCATGGGTAATGGTTGCCAGCTTGCCCCAAAATCACTCAATTCCAGCTGCACTGCAAAGCTACAGGCAATACTGTATATCCTGCAGTGTATCCTGGCTGGACAGCCAGCACCAGGACTGGATGATATTAGACACAAATGTTATAATGCAAGCTCATGAAACTGAAAATCAATCCAAGAATTATGGTCTCCATGTGTTTTGTGTCTGTGTGCACTGTGGGACAGCTGGACAAGGTCCTGAATTGCTCAGGGGTGTACCTGGGCAGAAGGGCAGCTGCTGTGCACCCTGTGCAGTGGCAGGCCAGAGGATGAGCTGAAGTCACAGCAGCTCACCCCAGAGCAGCAGTTTTGTTTACCAAACCCAGAGCTCAGCCAGCCTCTGCAGAGCACTGGGAGGAGGAACTGGGTGGCCTGAAAAAAGCCAGCATCAGACAGTGCTGAGAGTCCAGAGAGCAGCAGCAGCAGCTGGTGTGTGTGCTCACTGCAGGTAAGGGGACATCTGATGGCTGGGGGCGTGCAGCCCACCTGCAGCACCAGGAAAGAAACAAGAACTCAGGAGACGTCATAGATATGGGTCACTTTCTTGGAATCAGGAGCTGTTTACAAGGATTTGCCCAAGCTAATAGCAGCCCAGAACTAATGTCATTGACCTGGGAAGTCCTGGGAAGGGAAGAGAAATTTTTCAGAAAGAGCACTTGTACATCATGTTTCTGTCACACAAGCTTCAAGGGGAAATGCTAATTTACACTAATTTCTGTTTCTTTAAGTGGAACAAGGTTATGTTCTGAATACTGACTATATGATTATGTGATGTGAATGGCTGGGGGAGATCCAAAAAGTGCTTAGTAAAGTACACTCTGTTGAGTCAGATCTGCGAGTTAGCTATGGCTGGACCTGATGCCTTGAGAAGGCTGACCTAGAACAGAGGCTGGACAGAATTAAGAATAAAGAAGGGATTTCTTGAAAGGCCTTAAAGGACACACCTTGGGTAGTACAAGAGCTTGGCCAGGGCTGCACCCAAAAACAGTCACAAAATGGATGACTGGTCACGAGGTCTCACATTTTTATAAGTTTTGGTCCATCTGCATATTTGGGTTAATTATCTAATTACAGCTTCAGATTATGAAGTCTCATCCTTCTTGTTTCCTCTCTTCAGTCCACCCTTGTTTCTGCTTTTGGGCCTGAAACTTGTAACGATTGTCCTTGGTGTCAAGTTAGAAAAGGAATTGTTTTGTCTACGTATTCTGTGAAGAGAGCTCACTAACACTTGATATGAAGCTCAAAACTACACACCTGGGCAGCACAGAATCTGAAAAGTGTGAAAGCTAAACTTAAGGCATCAGACCAAACAGCACTTTGAGACCTTTCTTCTTATGTTATCTACTTTTTGGTGATTTGCTCATAGCTGGCTACTGAATTTCATTTCCTTGAATGCTAAAGGGTCTTATTTATCACCAGAAAAATGGTAGCAAACTTCTCTGGCCACTGGCAACCTTTGTCAGAACATGAATGTAAGATGCAGGCTCAGCAGAGCTGGTGCCTATGAACAAAGTCTGAGTGCTGTGCTCAGGTTTGGGGGCATGGGGACTTTACTGTGTCACCTGTAGTTAGCCCAAGATGAGTAGCAGAAATGGCAGAAGAAAGAGTGCCTGAGCTGTGGGACTTGAAGAAATGACACTTGAAAGAGTGTCCTGTCCTGTGTGTGGGAGGAATGTCCCTGGGGTACAGCTGCAGAGTGCCTTACCCACAGCACTGCATGGGAGAGAGCAGCAAGTTCAACCCAGAGCAGAGACACTGGAATAAAATACTGCATTTTAATAAACCAGGTAGCTGGCCAACATATCTGAGACACTGAAGGCTTTTTCTTCTTGTGTTCAGATTCAAAACTCTGAGGAGTCCTTTAAGTAAGGAAGGAATGGGCTGACTGTGTGACTCAGGGAGCAATGTCTGTATCCAGTAAGAGAAAGATGTCATGTACATCACATTTGGGGAACTACAGTTATTCATGTCTGCTTTAGTTAAATAGTCGTTTTTTTTTTTTTAATCCTGTATAATTAGAGCCTCAGGAAGTCTTGCATGTCCGGTTAAAAAAATAATCCTATCAGCAGTTTTAGCTTGGGTTTTCAACTTCTTCCAGGGCATGTTCCCCAAAACCCAGCTTCTCTTAAACTGTTTTGTGTAGGAGACTGTTTGTTTGGGAAAAGGCTCTACTGCCAGTCACGGATCAGGGTCTGGAAAAGGTTGGGTTTCAATAATCTCTATGAAAGTTAACACATTTCCCTCTTTCAGTGACACAGCTAGCAACTTTAACAAGTGCTTTTTTATTTGTTTGCTTGCTTTTAGGCAGGACTCAAACATTGCTAAAATCTTCTCAGGAGCAGCATGGGCAGATGGATACAGGCCATGTGCACTGGTACCCCACTGGTAGCTGCAGCAAAGATGTCAAGAAGAAAAGTCATCAAAAATCAAGTTTCAATGTCTTACATAGACATGCTTTGTAAGACTGGGTGCAGCTGCCCCCATCATCTTGCTCAGCAGGATGGCAGATAATGGTGGCTCTCAGCCTGGAGCCCTGGATTAATTTGTTACACCAGGTCTTGCAGCACAACATTTAGCTTTTTGCTCCAGACAAGTTCACCACAGTGATCAGCAGGGTGGAACCTGGAATCACAGTCAGCAAGGGCCTCACAGGTGGGCATGCCTCTACCTGGGACTGAAATGAAATCCATGCAGCTCTCATTATCTTACTGGCTCTGGGAAAATGAAGATAATCACCAGCTCTCATTGCCCCAGCAGAGAGGGAATAAGCTGCCACTGACATGGAACAGCATTGCCAGAGATGGTTTCAGCTGCAAGGTGAATGTTTCAGCCCAAGCAGACAGGTATTTGTTGTGATGGGATCAGGCTGTGGCAAAACCATCCCATTTACCCTTCTCTCCCTGCTCCAGTACAAAACAGCCCTCTGTCCCTCAGACACATCTGCCTCCTGCTCAAAGATCCTGTTTTCCTGGTGCAGCTGTTAGAACCATATGCTAAGGCATGGCTATTGAATAAATCTGAAAAAGCTGCTCTACGGACTATTAAACACCTGTAACAGAATTCACTATGTCAGTAGATTTGCTTTTATACACGTTTCTTATTTTCCATAAGTCCTTCTCCTTCTGGTAATAATTAGCAAGCACAGATCAATCCTGTGTATCACACCTAGATAAATTTTGGAAGTACTTTTAAAGATTCCTACAGAGCACATGCAGAATGTCCCTTGGCTGCCAGTCAGAAGTCACCTCCTTGGCAAACACAGTGTGTGCTTTCATGACTTTTACCCATGAACTGGACTGTTGCAGCAGAAATGTGAGCTGAGAGAGTCTGTGATGCTCAACATGACCTGGCAATGGGCACTTCCAGCTCAGAAGAGCAGCTGGGTCCTGGGCTGCATCAAGAGAGGTGGATGGGGACAGGGAATGGGACTGGAAAGATCCATACAGCCTTTTTCCTTCCTTCACCCTTCACCTAACTCAGCAGTGAAATGGGCTCGTGATGTTTCAGAAAGAGGATCCTAGATGACAAAGGACAGAATAAAGGGAAGTGTTCTTCACTTGCAGTCTGGTCCCAGGAGGGTGGGGGTCTCTTGGGGAAAGGAGGACAGACCTGTACTTCTGGGAGAATGGGAGAAGTTGGGAAGATAGCAGTGTTTGTGATGACTTTCATCAGCTGCAACGGTG